CGGTCAGCAGCTACAGAGGATGCGCCGGGTCTCCCAGCAGTGCCGGCCCACTGGCGCTGCGCTGGAGTTCTCGCCGAGCCTCAGCTGCCTCCCCGCGGGGCAGGGCTCGGGACCTGCAGCCCACCGTCCCCGAACCCCCCCACCCCTCCCTGCGGTGGGCTCCTGCGCGGCCCGAGCCTCCCCGATGAGCGCCGCCCCCTGCTTCACGGCGCTAGGTCCGGTCAACCATCCAGCACCTGAGAAACGCAAGTGCACGGCGCGGGATTAAGCCGGCAGTTCTGGCCCCGACCACTCTGCGGTATCCATTAAATGAGGTCAGCTAGCTTCCGGAGTCTGGTGGGGACTTGGGGGAACTTTTATGTCTAGCTAAGGGATCATAAACGCACCAATCAGCACTCTGCGTCTAGCTCAGGGTTTGTAAATACACCAATCAGCACTCTGTCAAAACGGACCAGTCAGCTCTCTGTAAAGTGGACCAATCAACTCTCTGTAAAATGGACCAATCAGTAGGATGTGGGTGGGGCCAGATAAGGGAATAAAAGCAGGCTGCCAGCACTAATTAGTAGCAATACGCTCTGTCTTTTTGTGTGTTGTGGGCGTGTTGTTTTTTCGTTGTGTGTAGTATTGTTGTTGGTGACTCTCTGGGTGTATGCTGACTTTAGAAGCTGCAATACTTGCTGTTTAGCGGTCTGTAGCGTCACTCCTAAAGCTTGACTGAGGCCACGAATCCACTGGGGGGAATGAAAAACTCCAGATAACGCTGTTTTTATGGGCCATTAACACTTACCACGTGGGTCTTGCAGCTTTTCTCCTGTCAGGGCAAGACCACGAATCCACTGGGGAGAATGATAAAACTCCAGATACGCTGTGTTTTCGCTAACGCTCACCACGCAGGTTTGCAGCCTTGCTTCTGTCAGCGAGACCACGAACCTACCAACAGGAAAAAGCCCGGACGCATGCAAACGTCTGTAGTGGAACAAATTTTGGAGAACAATCTTTAAGAACTGCAACACGTGCTGCGGGGGTCTGCAGCTTCATCCTCTAGGTCAGCAAGACCAAAAATCTATCAATTCCACACGCGAGAGAACCCCGGCAACAGACATAAGAGAAAACATCACAAAGCAGTCTATTCAGTTTAGGGTTAGTTTCTGTTCTAATTAAACAACTTCCTCACTTTCTTTTTATGATATTTTATCCTACAGTGGAAGTGAAGGGGCTTTATAAATCTGCCTGACATTGGGTTGTAGTCGTTAGGCAGACAAACTTGAAACGTGGAAGAAACACTGAAGGCAGCAAGAAGAGGAATCGGGTAAAGTGGCTAGGAAGACAGGAATGCGGATTGAACTCTCCAGGTCTCCAGCCTGATATAAAACCCATACATAGTTCCTCGATCCCAAGATACCTACTTGTCTCTATCCGGAGATTATGAAAGCCGGCTGAGGATCTTAATTTAGGTTGTATTTCTGTAAGTGATATATTCATTTGGCTTGGCTTTAGACTTGGAGCCTAGCTGTAGTAAGGATTTAAGGATGATGCTGAAATTAGAATTTTCAAGTTAGATACAAAGGAATTGTCGAGCAGCCATTAAGCCCACGAACTGCAATGCAGCTGTTTGCGTTCATGCTTACAGCGGAGCATTGGAAGGAGAGGATGAAGGTGGGTTTGTTGCAAAGTGAAGAGGGGGGGTCCAGAATCATGGTTAGTACTGACTTGCAGAAAGGGGTGAAAAAGTTCACCTTTGCTTGCATTTTGCTTTCGCTGAAAAAATGAGAAGAAGCAAACAATGGGACAGGAACCCTTGCCTCCTTCAGACTTGTGTCCTTCGTGTGCTCTCCAATTTATAATTCACTTACCAGTTAAGATTCCAAAGAGAAGCATCACCTGTATGCAGGAGGTGGGGGGTAATTTCCCTCACCTCATCTTGAAATAATCCACGTGGGAAGTTATCTAGAGTGCCCGGGTTCTAGAGCGGAGATGGGTTCCAGAGGGGGCCTTGATGCCTGGTGTCTCAATGGGACGTGAAATTGCAGAAAGAATTAAAAACTCGCCAGGAGCAGGATTCTGGGATGAGTAAGATCAGTTGGGGTAGGATCCAAGACAGTGAGGACTGGGAACGCTGGATTCCTGGTTTCTGAGGGTTGCTCCAACAATGTGTCTGGCTCAGTTTCTTTTCTCACTTGACCATAGCTGTGGCATTATAGTTGCCACCAGGCAGGGGAGGTCACAACTTCTGGACCCTCCCTCTCCAGGGAGGGACATCTTAAGGCCCTGACAACATGAGGGAAGAAGCAGAGAGCGGGAGAGAGAACAAGGGGATCAAATCTGTGAGAGGAGACGAGACCCACCCTCCCAGCCACAGGTCAGCAGAAACCGGTTTTCTCTGGGGATGTCTCATTTCTGGGACAGAGGCCTTTGTAGCAGGCAGAGGGGAGAAAAATGGAGGTTACTGTGTCCCAAATCATTGGATCTTCTTGTGCCAGCACCTCTCCAGGGACAGCTGTGAGGGGAGGTTGCAGAGCCTGTGACTATCAGGCCAGTTAATGTGTGTCAGGAAACAGAGGCTGGCAGAAAAAAACCCTGCCGTGGGATACTGGCGGTGAGGCCAGAAGACGACTCTGGACGTTCAAGGGACTGGAAAGGGAGGCCTGGACTCTGGAAGAAGAGGCTGGACACACTCTCGCAAATCTAAATTATATTCTGTTCCTTAGGTGGTCCATATAACATCCCACCCATCTAGATTGGGGCTGCCTCGGTGTGAGAACCTGGCTCCACTGAGGAACAAAGTGAATGGAGAAAACAAAGTAAGTCTTCTGTTCCATAGGAGCCGTGAGGGTTTGAACAGGGCTCTTCTCTGAGCCTCGGTTTTCTCATCTGTGAAACAGGCCTCCTAACTCGCAGGGTGATGGGAGGTTCACAGGTGCGATGTAAGTGAAAGCACATCACAAACGTGTGTCAGTTTTATGGCCAATGTCTCGGGGGTAGGAGCGACGCCCAGGCCTGTCAGTGCGGCCCGCCCCCTCCCTCCCCCCCTTCCCCCCGCCCCGGGAACTGAGCTGGGAGGAGGGGATGCGGCGCTGTCGGGCTGGGGCGCTGCGGGAGCAGCCGCCTCGAACCACAAATTTGCGCTGTCCGCGAGAGATCAGAAGCCGCCCGCAAAGTGGAACCCGGAAGAATGAGGGAGGACCGCAGTCTCGGGGAACCGGAGTCCCCTCTCCAACTCCGCCGGGACAGAAGCTTCCGGCGCCCCGGCCGCCGCCTGCCCTCGGGGCACTCGCTCCCCCGGAGGTGTCCTCCCTGGGGGCTGAGAGAGCGCATTCTCTCGTGTCCTACTCATTAAGTAATTATCCCTAATGAGGGCCCAGTCCTGGAGCTTGTTAAAGGATTTCCACCTGGATTTCAAAGTGATAATTAGCGGGGAACGGAGAGGGAAGAGAAGTGGGAAGGAGACACCCGCCGCGCCCCAAGGCCCCCAGTCCGCATTTGCCGGGCGAAGAACCTCCCCATCCCCGTTTGACCCCTAGTGCTGCATTTTGGTCTCTTGATAGGGGAGGGGTCTGTCCGGTTGGATGTTTAGGACTCTAGGGGCAGAGATGTTTTTATTTCGTTTTGTTTTTGAATTGGGGTCCAGGCTGAGTTTAGGGGTCTCTGCCTCCCTCCCAGGGCAGAGAGAGACTCCTGTCCTGGCAGATACCACAAGATGAGTCACCACCTGCTCAGACAACTAAAATCCAGGCGTCTTCCTCCTTTTCTCGAGGGCTCTCCAGCCCCTTCCGGAACCCAGGTGTCCCTCTACCTCCTTTCTCCAGGGGCCTAAATCTGGGTCCCTCTGGCACCTGGCATGCCCGCTCTCTGAGAGTCAAGCTTCAATCTTGCCCTTAGCAGAGTGGGTTTCTGGTGGGAGATTCAGTAATAAGGGCCTTCCCAGCCCAGCCAGGGCCAGATAGTTCAATGACATCAGTGTCAGGGTTGGGATTACTGACCATGATAGGTTTCCAGCTTTCAGCAAATGGGGATGCCCAAAGGAACAGATAGTGGGTGACCTGTGGCCCCACTGTTTGATTCTGGATGGAGTTACGTTTAGGAGCCTGGCAGCAAAGTGGGGCATCTTTTCTGTTAGTGATGATGCCATCTTCCTCTGGTAAGAGAGCCAAGGCTGCATGGGTGATGGGAAGTTTCTGTTGGGACTGACATCGGCACAGAATGGTTTTGGAGGAGGGCTGGGTCCTAACATAAATAGGGGGCATAGCAGATACTCACGGAGTTGGGCTTAATGATTAGGGTGTTGTTTATTCTGTATAGCACCTACCTTGTGACAACTCTTGTTAAATTATTTAATTTTAATTTTCCTATCTTTGTGTCTCAGGTGAGAACTATGTCTTATACTTTATATCTTCAACAGAGTATATAATAGGTGCTTTAAAATACTTGCTTTTTAATTGACAGGTTTTTCTACTCATTTTGCCACCATGCGAATAAACCCGGCCTGCACTAAGGCTGGCTCTTTTTTTTTTTTTTTTTTTTTTTGAGGCGGAGTCTCGCTCTGCCGCCCAGGTTGGAGTGCCGTGGCCGGATCTCAGCTCACTGCAAGCTCCGCCTCCTGGGTTCACGCCATTCTCCGGCCTCAGCCTCCCGAGTAGCTGGGACTACAGGCGCCCGCCACCTCGCCCGGCTAGTTTTTTGTATTTTTAGTAGAGACGGGGTTTCACCGTGTTAGCCAGGATGGTCTCGATCTCCTGACCTCGTGATCCGCCCGTCTCGGCCTCCCAAAGTGCTGGGATTACAGGCTTGAGCCACCGCGCCCGGCCGGCTGGCTCTTATCTAAACCCAGAAAGGAGGCATTTTTGGAGCAATAGAAATTCAGCCTCCCCTTTCTTGACCCTCCATAGATTGCCAGTCCTGCCCTCCATCTCCTCCATCTCCTCCTCTTCTGTAAGGTCTCAGCTGCAGCCAGGAACACCAGTCAGCACTTTCTCCCAATAGATAGTCTAATAACTATGATGCCCTTTATAAACATGTTATACTTTATTATAAAAAAGGTCAGTAGAAGGAAACTATTATCATCATTCTTCTTTTCCCCTCTGCCCAATCAGTAGTAAGGTGAAACGGCCATAAGGAGAGAGAGAGAAAATGTAGAAAACACATAGATGAAATGACTACAAGGAGGAAAATTGGAATCTGGGGTGAAGGTGGGAGGGGAGAGTATGGGGATGGTAGAGAAGATGGGTAACTTTTACGACATAAAGCCACAGCTGACCTTTGGTGGAAGAGACAGGAAAATAAATGCTGAGACACCATCAGGGAAAGTCTGGGATGGAGATCAGTGGGTGAGACTGCTGGCCAAACAAAAATCCCCTCCTTGTGTGTCCACCCACAACCCAGCAAGCCAAACCAACAGGGTGTCCGCTGTAGACGTTTAGGAAAACTAAGGGATTTGGGAGGAAGAGGGGTCAACCATGTGGATGAGAGAGATTTGTGATTTCTTCTGAATTTTTTTTTCTCCAGGGCATGGAGAGAGTGGAGAAGGAAATAAATTCTTTTTTCTTCTTGGATCCGTTTTTTTTGTTTGTTTTGTTTTTTTGGTTTTTTTATTAAGAAAATGGGGCGAAAGCAAGGGTCCTGAGAACTCAGAGATGAGCCTGTTTACATGCAAACTCTTAAGTAATAGTGAATGGAAATAACAATGCTGTCCTGAAACCCAGAGACTCTGCCCTCAGTCTCTCCCTTTCCCCATAATCCCCACTCACAAGTCAGTCTGGGGCATTGCCTTCTAAGGCTCCTGTCCTTTCTTTAGGACTCAGTGCAGTTCTGCATTGGTCCCCCAACATGTCCATCAAACACCTTTTCGTTCTCAGACCATCACATTCTACAGAGAATGTCTGCTCGTATTATTCATTCTTTGTTCTTTGACCCCTAAACTTACATCCTCCTTGCTTATCACTTCGTTCGCCAACCAGTTTCAATGAAGAACAGAGGAAGGGTTAATACTGGTAACCGTCAGTATTCTCTGCCCTTCCTGTAGTCCAGGAAATAGAAATTGTGAGTCCAGTTCCTCATCCAGGAAAGGGGCAGAGCATGGAAGAGCCAGGGCTGGGCTCCTATTCCAAGATCACCGTGGGGAAGGGATCTGGCCCATGCCAAGATTCTGCTGCTCCATCAGGTAGACTGGGTAGGAATTGGGGCCACCCTCATCCTCTGGGTCATTGTCCTGGGTGTTCTGGGTTAGTGTGCGGCGTGTCCGCATCATATAGGAGACCTGTGATTGGGATGAGAAAGGAGGAATGAGAACCATCTGCGATTTGTTTTTCTCAACACTCACCTCAGGTCTTCATTCTATTTTCAAGATTCCATCCAAACCTTGATGTTTATTCCAGCTCTAGATCCGATACAATAAGTCCCAGTTCCCTCCTCTACCATATTCTCCTTGTCCTTATACCTCCTATTCTCATACCCCAGACTCTCCATCCCCAACACTTTCTCTTTCACGCCCTTTCATTCTCAGCCACAGCCTTCTCTCCAGTTCCTGCTTTTTACCTCCTGTGTATTTATTGTCTTTCTCCTCAGTTTTCACCAAAACTCTTCCTCTATTACTGTTCCTCCCACTTCTGCCATGTCTCTTTTCCTAGACTCATTATTCCCTGTAACTCTGACCCTTAATGTGTCCCCAATTCCCTATCCCATAGGTTGATTTCCATGGGGCACATCTGTCCCTTACCAAGAAGACCAGGCCAAGGAACACCAGGAGGAGAATCACAGCCACCAGGACCACAACAACTATGGCCCATGCAGGGAATGAATCATTCTCCCCAATCTGTCCAGCGTGGATACCTTTCTGTGAGTCATCTTTATTGAGGTATGGATGGCTCTTGTTGCCTGGGGCTTCTAATGTGATAGAACTCAACTTTGTTCTACGTGTAATGAGGGTGAAAGAATCAGTGGGCACCTGATGAGTAACCTCAGTTTTATTTAAATGAGAAGAGGTAGTAGTGAGAGATTTGTCTCCTGCGACCTTGACTGAAGGTTTTATAGTCTTTGTGACTGCTGCTGTTTTTTCTGGGTTTTCTGTGGACTTTACTGGGGCTTTTATGGTCTCAGTGGTCAGTGTGGTGTTCCTCGGGTTTTCTGTAGGCTTTTCTGGGACTGATATGTTTTTCTCTTTGGTGGATCTGGTCTTCTCTGAGTGTAGTGTAGGCTTTTCTGAGGCTCTTGTGGTTTTCTCTGTGGTTGACATGGTCTTTTCTGGGTGTTCTGTAGACTTTTTTGTGACTTGTGTCATCTTCTCATGGGCCAATGTGGTCCTTTCTCCATGTTCTATAGGCTCTGCTGGGGCTGGTGTGATCACATTGGCTGATGTAGTCCATTCTCTATGTTCTGTAGACTCTGCTGCAGATGAGGTGATCTTGTCATTGGGTGATGTGGTCCTTTCTCCGTGTTCTGTAGGCTCTGCTACAGATGGTGTGATCTTCTCATTGGCCAACATAGTTTTTGCTCCATGTTCTGTAGGCCCTTCTGGGGATACTGTGATCTTCTCATTGGCCAATGTAGTCTTCTCTCCATATTCTGTAGGCTCTACTGGGGATGGTGTGGTGTTCTCAATGGCCGATGGGGTCATTTCTTCATGTTTTGTAGGCTCTGCTGGAGATGGTATGGTCTTCTCATTGGCTGATGGTGTCCTTTCTCCATGTTCTGTAGGCTTTGCTGGGGATAGTGTGGTGTTCTCATTGGCAAATGGGGTCATTTCTTCATGTTCTGTAGGCTCTGCTGGGGATGGTGTGGTGTTCTCATTGGCTATCCTTCCTCTATTTTCTGTAGGCTCTTCTGGGAATGATGTGGTCTTCTCATTGGCAAATGGGGTCCTTTGTCCATTTTCTGTAGGCTCTGCTGGGGATGGTGTGGTGTTCTCATTGGCTGTCCTTCCTCTATTTTCTGTAGGCTTTGCTGGGGATGATGTGGTCTTCTCATTGGCAAATGGGGTCATTTCTTCATGTTCTGTAGGCTCTGCTGGGGATGGTGTGGTGTTCTCATTGGCTATCCTTTTTTCTGTAGGCTCTTCTGGGAATGATGTGGTCTTCTCATTGGCAAATGGGGTCCTTTGTCCATTTTCTGTAGGCTCTGCTGGGGATGGTGTGGTTTTCTCGTTGGCTGTCCTTTCTCCATGTTCTGTAGGCTCTGCTGGGGATGGTGTGGTGTTCCCATTGGCTGTCCTTTCTCCATGTTCTGTAGGCTTTGCTAGAGATTGTGTCTCATTGGCTGATATGGTCTCGTGTATGTTTTTTGTAGTTTTTGTCAGGAGCTTATCTGAGGCAACTGTTGTTCTGTAATCTTCAGGTTTTTCTGACTCTTCTGGGGTTCCTGTAGTCTTGTATGTTGTTTTTGAGGCTGCTGTGATTTTTTCTGAAGAAGATGTGTTTTTTTGCTTGGTCTGTGAATTGCCTGAGTTGTGGAAGGAAGTTGTAGTCTTATGTGAGGTAGTACTTTTATTATCCAAAGTACTCATGGACTTTTCCAAAGATCTTCCAGTTTCATCTGGTTTTCTTGTTGCTGTTGATTTGCCTGTTGTGGACTTACGACAATTTATTTTGCTCTTGGGTGCTGGCGTTATATGTTTTTTTTCAGAGAATTCTTTATGTGCGGTAGTGGAGTAAGCAGGATCAACAGAGTGCTGATTCCGGATCGTTGGGTCTTTCCCTTGATTGCTGGAGTTTTCTTCAGAAGAGGGAGGAGCCTCATGATTATCTGTAGAGCTTTTGTGGTCTGTAGTTTTGGAGTTGTCTATAGGCTTGTCAGTTGGCTTAGAAGGGCGTGTGGTGGTGCAGTGGCGTTTTCGTTCATGGATTTCTGTAGATTTAGGGAGCTCTGGAGGTCTTTGTCCTGAATGAACAGTGTGATCCAAAGGGATACTATAAACAAGGCCTAGAGTGAGGGGAAATATGTGATCAGATGTTGAGAGTTCCCCAGTTTTCTGATATTCTTGGAATGCAGTAGCACCTGTGGAGGGAGAGAGGCAAATAAGAAACTTCCCCATGATCTTCTCCAACTCTCCCTTCCCACCTCCTTCTCTAGGGGATCTCTTTGCTCCCCACAGTATGACTCCCCAGTCAGTCTCCTTTGAATACTATGATATCTATTCCCCATTCTCACCTCCAGCCCCTGGGCTCAGGCTGTGCCTTCAGCAAGCCTGCCACCTCATCCCCTTCCACATCTCCTCAACTCTCCATCTCAAGGCCTTCTGGCTTTAGGACATCTTTTCTGATCTGCCTAAACAGATTAAATCCAGCTTCATTTCAGTGCTTGAAAAGGTCTTTATTCATTATTCTGTCCTGTTACCTTCAACTTCACGTTACAGTTGTTTGCGTGCCTGCCGACCTCCACTCCCTGCCACGCCTATCCAATGATAAGGTTTTGAGGGCATGTATGGACTAGCATTTTACTGTGCAGGTGCCCCTTTAGGGTCTGTAACTTATGGAATGGAGTCTCCTTTCCATGGCATAGCTGAGAAGACCAGGAATAAACATTAGACTCTCCACCTTTCCATAACATTCTAACACCATCCCAAATGTAACAGTGTGAGAAATTGAGGTAAGACCTCTGGCAGAACTTCCCATAGGGATTAGCAGGTAGACACAGGTTGTGAGTGAGAGATGTATAAGAAGAATGGAGGATGAGTAGAGGAAGGGGATGGGAAGTTTTCATTTCGGAGATAAAGTTGGATGAGGAGAATGGATGAGATGACCCAACCCTTATGGTCACCCCACTGGGTCCCCCTCTTCACACATTTAAAGCCAACTGGGGATAGATGAAGGGGGCCATCTTGAAAGGAAAAGAGATCTGCTTGGGGGTCCTGACAGGAGTAAACGAGGCAACTAGCTTGTGGGAGGGACTGACTATGTTTAAGGACAGGGTGTGAGAGAAAACGCCCCATCAGTGGACAGATGCACGCCTTAATTCCATGGAAAAACAACCTGATGGAGACAGAGGAGATGTCTCTGATACCTAGCCGAAAGAGTGAAGGCCAAGAGATCGCCAAAGAGTGAAAGAGATAGTGTCGTTACATAACTGAGGTTTCCAGTCCCTGTTAGCTTAAGGCGGCAACCAGAACCTGGACCTATTCCCAATCACAAGAAACAACAGTCCACCTGCCTGCTGATGGGCAGAATCGGCCTGGGGAGCTCAGTCCTTGAAAGAAATATGGGCGGGACAAGAAGGGTGTGAGGTTAATAGAGAAGCCCAAGTCTCTGAAAGGAATTGAGAGTGAGGGGAGAGAAGGAGGCTGAATGATCAGGCCTGCACTCTGCTCTCCCAATCCCATTACATGATCTCCTTGGCAGCAATACCAGTAATAGCTATTGTTTATTGGACACCTTCCCCAGCCCTGGGACGTGGCTGGTGGCCTCACAGACATTCTCTTTCTGGATTCTCTTCTATGGTGATTGGTCTCCCAATGCTCCACAGGGCTCTTTAGAAGCGGTCAAGTTCCCCTATTTTACATCTGAGAAATTTACATTTCACGGAGGAAAAGTGACCTGGACATAGTCCCACAACAATAGCAACGGGCAACCTTTCTGGAGCTCTACAATGAGAGAGGCAGGTTCTACAAGTGAGGGCATACGTTAACTTATTTACGTTTCATGAGAACCTGTTGAGGTTGAGAACTATTTCCTATTCTCCCAGTTGTATAGATGAAGAAACAAGGTTCTGAATGGTTAAGTAATCTTCTCAAGGACACCCAGGAAGTAAGAGGTCGAGACAGAATCTGAACATGCGTCTGGGCTCCTGGGCCCAGTTCGTTGCTGGTGAAGACCACAGTGCACAGCCAATAGGTCAGCCCAGTCTTTTAAAGAAGAAAGGACACTGACATATGTGGACTCCCTGAAAGGTGCTGTTCATATATTTGTTTATTTAATCAAATAATTATGAACCTGTGAAGTGAGGATGGTGATCTTACTGTTTTACAGGTGGGGAAAGGAGATGTAAAGAGGTTAAGTAATTGGCAAAATTAGACTTTTCACTGTGCTCCAGAGGCTTTTAAACATGATAAGGGATGAATGACTATCTATCGAGTGAATAAATGAGCTGGCAGCAATGCAAAGGGCAATTTCCACTGGCCTTAAAGAATCAGAGGACAGGTTTGGCATCCAGGCTCCGTCCCTCAACAGTTTTGCGTTCTTGCTCAGGTCACTTAAGTGCTCTGAAGCTCCATGTTCTCAACTGTAAATAACCATGATGCTGACTGCACCAGCTGAATGTGAGGGTTAAAGGAAGTATGGACCATGGCAGACTCTGGAGCACAGAAGCTGTTTAAATGTTTGTTGAATCCACATTGTAGTCTCTGAAGTAATCTCATGCCTTGCCCTGTCCTTCTCCTGGTTGTAAGGGGAGCCTGAGCAGTAGCCCTACCCTCCTGCCTGCCCCATCCACCTCTCACCTGCTGTGGCCACCCTCTTGAATACAGCAGCCTCTGCATTCCTGGGCCACTTTCTGATCATCACTTTCTGATATGTGATAAATACAATTAAATTTCCACTATGGCAAGGGTTTTGTTTTTGTTTGTTTTTTTGTTTTTTGAGACGGAGTCTCACTCTGTCGCCAAGGCTGGAGTGCAGTGGTGTGATCTGGGTTCATTTCAACCTCCACCTCCCAGGTTCAAGTGATTTTCCTGCTTCAGCCTCCTGAGTAGCTGGGACTACAGGCATGTGCCACCACGCCCAGCTAATTTTTTGTATTTTTAGTAGAGATGGGGTTTCACTGTGTTAGCTAGGATGGTCTCGATCTCCTGACCTCATGATCTGCCCATCTCAGCCTCCCAAAGTGCTGGGATTACAGGTATGAGCCATCGCGTCCGGCCAGGGTGGTTGTTGTTGTTGTTGTTGTTGTTGTTGTTGTTGTTGTTGTTTTTGAGACAGAGTCTTACTCTGCACCAGGCTGGAGTGCAGTGGTATGGTCACAGCTCACTGCAGCCCTGACCTCCTGGGCTCAAGCAATCCCCCCGCCTCAGCCCCCTGTCAGCTGGGACTACAAATGTGAGCCACTATGCCCCTCTCCCCCTTTTTTTTAAGACACAGGGTCTCACTATGTTGGCCAGGCTGGTCTCAAACTATGGTCCTCAGTGATCCTCTTGTCTCAGCCTCCTAAAGTATTAGGATTATAGGCATGAGCCACTGCGCCTGGCCTGGCCTGCCCTGGCAGGGATTTTTATTTGTTTTGTTTGTCACTGTCTCCAGCCTAGAACAGTATCTGGTCCATAGGAGGCACTTTGTAAATATTTGTCGACTAATGAATGAAAGAACAAGACTGATGAAAATTCCTTAGAAGCCTTGCCAACAATGTTTCATAATGCACATTAAGTAGAAACCAAATGTATTTGTGACCTCCGCAGGCTGGAACACCAAGGGGCAACTTCCGCTGTTAGGTAATTGAGCTCTGAGATGAAAAGATGTTGAAAGGCGGCCTCTGGCCCACCAATTCTGGGATACCAGTTCTCATTAAACCACAGGATCACAGTCCATAACTAGACTCAGATAACAAGATTTTAGAATTTTAGATCTGCATCAAACAGTTGTGGAACCATAGATTGTAAAAAGCTGAGGTAAAGCTCAAGGGATTCCTTGGTCCTGACACAGCCAAGAGGCAAATCAGTGTAAACCCCCAGGACAAAAGAAGCATCTCTTCCCCAGATGATCTACTTTTGGTAGTGACTTACTTCCCTAGGAAGTTTTCACCAGGAGATATTCATTCCACATACAACCATCGTAGCCTGAAAAGAACTGTTCTGGTCATTGAAGAATAGGCAGGAGGTGCAGAAGAGAAAATCCAACTTTAGCACAAGACATTGTGGATGGATGTTCAGTCGGGATAAAAGAATAAGAACAAATCCCACAACATCAAAACAATGCACAGTGCCAAAGGTCCCTGCCATCTGCTTCGTTCACTCATTTGAAAGGGAGGACATCAGCTGGGCACAATGGCTCGCACCTGTAATCCCAGCACTTGGGGAGGCCAATGTGGGCAGATCACCTGAGGTCAGGAGTTCGAGACCAGCCTGGCCAACATGGCAAAACCCCATCTCTACTAAAAATATGAAAACTAGCCGGGCATGGTGGCAGCAGCCTGTAATCCCAGCTACTCAGGAGACTGAGGCAGGAGAATCAGTTGAACCTGGGAGGTGGAGGTTGCAGTGAGCCAAGATCATGCCACTGCACTCCAACGTGGGCCACAGAGCGAGAGTCTGTCAAAAGAAGAAAGAAAGAGAAGGAAAGAAAGAAGGAAGGAAGGAAAGGAGGAAAGAAGAAAAAAGAAAGAAAAGAAGGAAGGAAGGGAGGGAGAAATGGAGGAAAGAAGAAAAAGAGAGAGAGAGAAAGAAACAAAGAAAGGAAGGAAGGAAGGAAGGCAAAGAAAGAAAGGAAGAAGAGAGAGGGAGGGAAAGAGAAAAAGGGAAGGAAGGAAAGGAAGGGAGGGAGGGAGGGAGGAAGAGAGAACATCTTACTAAGCAACTCATGCCTTGGAGTCTCTGTCAGAGCACGCTCTCCCAAAAGAGCATCTCTAGTGTTTCCTGGTATCCTTACCCCCATAAATGGCATGCTCCATTTGCAATAATGTGAGTAAATGCTTGTTAAAATATCTATACAGTATTAGTTCAATAAGTGGCTTAAAACACAGACATAGAAAAAGAAAACTGGTGGGCACAGTTGCTCACACCTATAATCCCAGCACTTAGGGAGGCTGAGGCAGAAGGACCAGTCTGGGCAACATAGCGAGACCTGTCTCTACAAAAACAAAAAAAAAAAGGAAAGCTAAAGGGAGATATAATCAAATGATTGCCTGGGGACTAGGGAGTATACAGAGAGATTTTATTTTTCTTTCTGATTTTTTCTATTTTCCATTTTCTACAATGAGCATACATTATTTGTGTTACAGAAATTAAATCAAATAGCATTTGTTATAGGAAAATGTTCTTGTTAGATTCTTCCAAGGACCCCAGTCCCAATTCCCATCTCCTGACTCACCTGTGCTCCCTCAGGTGAGTTCATCTGGACTGTGCCTGTGCCTCCCTCTGATTATTTAATCTAGACTGCACCTGTGCCTCCCTCGAATGATTTAATCTAGACTGCTCCTGTGCTCCCTCTGATGATTTAATCTAAACTGCATCTGTGCCTCCCTCTGATTATTTAATCTAGACTGCACCTGTGCTCCCTCTGATGATTTAATTTAGACTGCACCTGTGCTCCCTTGGCTGATTTAATCTAGACTGCACCTGTGCTCCCCCTGATGATTTAATCTAGACTGTACCCGTGGTTCTGTGACTGCATGATGCAGACTCTGGGGTTCCAGGATCTAGTTATCTGTCTGCGTGTTGACTGGTCCTGTGGACAAATGTCAGGGCCCCCTCACCAGAATGGTAGACTAAAGGGCTTCATCCATCCCAGTTGTCCCTCTTCCCGTCCTGCCCAGGCCTTTCTCTCTGCTGGGCACAGCCATGGACTAGCCCTGATTCACACTCCAGTTCCACCCGACCTCATCACAACCCAAGCCCAGCCTCAAGCCATCCCCACCTGTCACCTACTCGCTCTTGTCTTCAAAATCTGCAGAATGGGAGCAGCCAGCTCCCCATGTCCTCCTCACCCCTCCCTCCATCCCGCCCTGCCACACCTATCTCCTCTCCGAGACCACGCCCACATGGCCCCATCGGAATCTCAGGAATTCAGATCTCTGCCCTGAAGCAAATCTCAGAAGAGCTACGGTGTATGGAGGGGATTCCCTTCCACCCCCTGCAGGTTCGTCTTCCTTAAGCTGCAAGATGGAAGGAGGAGAGAGCAGCCGGCGGACAATCCGCCTGAGGGGAAGGAGAAGGAAAGGCAGGCGAGATGGGGCCAGGAGGTGTTGGGCAGCTCTGGTGCCTCTGTCTCCAGACCCTTAAGGTAGGGGAGACAAACATCAAGTCAGGGCACAGACAGGACGCACTGCTGATATCTTTCAGAGGCAGCTCAAAGATTGCTCAGTTCCCGCCATTCACCACCCACCTGCCCTTGCCTCCACCCCTGGCCGCAACCTGCCTGTGCTCAGGGAAGGGGCACTGCCTCTAACATCACCCTCTGTCTGCACTACTGGAAGGAGAAGGTGCTGCCTGCCTGCCCTGCCCCCAGTACTGCTTGGAGGAGACTTCCAGACTCATGACTGTCCCAGCCCTGGTTCCAGATCATCAGCGCCGTTACTGTGGATGGCTCTGTCCTTAGATGACTGTCCAGTGGGTAGACAGTGTCTCTGAATCTGCTGCTGTACATCTGCCTTGTGGAGACCCTCCTCCAAATTGCCCAGGCCCTCCACACCGCCCCTGTGTTTAGCATCTCTGCTCCCTGGGTTCAGTTGCAGTCCGTTTCTTGACTAAGTGAACTAATTTCACAATTTCATCTTATCTTTAGGGTTTGTTTTGTTTGTCAAACTTGTCCATACTCATTTTCTCTCAAAGCCCTGAGATGTTTTCCAACTGTAAGACAAGGACAGAGCCTTTGATGCACACTTTTCTGAGTTGCCATGTGGATTAAATGAGTAAACGTGGATGAAGTCCCTAGAGCAACACCTGGTGCCGTGTAAATGCTCTGTAGGCAACAAATATTGGTACGGCCGGGCAGCAGCATCCAGCCCATTTTACAGATGGTGTGGAAGGCCAGAGTAGCCAAATGGGTCAGAGTCAGGACTGGAAACTAGGTCTGCACAAAACAGAGCTCTCAAGAGAGAAGTTCCACCTGTCCCCCAGGGCTGGGGGCAGTGGAGGTGGAATCTCTACTTACCTCCCTCTAGCTGTGAGATATGGCACCAAATCACTCTGAGTCCACTCTCCTCAACTATAAGATGGGATATTATTAGCCACCTCAGGGGATGCTGAGATGAGATGAGTCTCTGGGTGCAGTGGCTTACGCTTGTAATACTAGCACTCTGGGAGGCCGAGGCAGGCAAATCACTTGAGGCCAAGCATTTGAGACCAGCCTGGCCAACATGATGAAATCCTGTCTACTAAAAATACAAAAAATTAGCCAGGCATGGTGGCAGGCGCCTGTAATCCCAGTTACCCAGGAGGCTGAGGCAGGAGAATCGCTTGAACCCGGGAGGCGGAGGCTGCAGTGAGCCAAGATTGCGCCGCTGCACTCCAGCCTAGGCAACAGAGCGAGACTCCATCTCAAAAAAAGAAAAAAAAAAAGAAGAAGAAGAAGAAAGAAATCACCATGAGCAGCTGTGAATTCCATGCACGGAGCTGGAGTTGGTGTTCAACAAATGTCAGGTGCCTACCCCCACCACACAGGGCTGCCACCCTCTACAGTGTCTTTATGCAAACTTGAAACCCCCTCTGGATGGGTGCAGCCCTGTGAGCCATGTTTTAAAGAGCAGAGCACAGGCTGGATTTCATCTCCTACTACATGTCCCTTAGCCGGCAAACTTGAGCAGAGAACACTCTAGACAACTGTCTGTAGCAGTCCTGTGCCCGCTCCCTTCATTCCTTTCTATTTGTTGTCCAACTCTATGAGCACTAAGAAACAAGCCATTTCTATCTTCTGTACCCGCTGTGGGCATCTTACCTGCCTCCCAAGAAGCTAGAAGGAAGAGGAGGCAGCACTGGAGGCCAAAGGTGGAGCAGAGGCTGTGGACCGTCTGGGCCATGTCGGAGCTGGGTGGCTGCTTGGGGACCATGGGCTGCGGACCCCTCACCTTATATGGAGCCAATCTTGACGTCATGGGGGCTGGGGCTCCTCAGGACTAAGTCTTAAACAAATGGAGCCACCCCAACCCACAGGGGAGCCCTGATAAGAGGAGACCGCAGCTGCTGTGTCATGGAGCCAGGCACGTGGGTGCCTGCCGAGGGGTGGGATCTGGGGGCAGGGCAGAGGAACCAGAAAGGAGCAGGCACCTGAGCCAGCCCCAGTGGAGAGAAGTGAGGGTGGTGCCTCCAGGGCTTTGGGGAATTGGGGAGCAGATGGCCCGGTTCTAGAAGAACTGAACTCTGGCCGGGAGCAGGACGGGGTGGGGTTCACATTCTGATCTGTGTCCAGCTTCACATGCACCCTCCTACCTCTCCCGCGTCAGCTCAGCTTCCACACCCCTTATTCACACATGGTCATTCTTGCCACCTTGGGCGGAGCTGCCCACGAGGATCAGGTGAAAGAGCAAAGGCGAGAGAAAGCCCTCGAATGACCCTCGCTGCAGAGACAGGTGCTTCGTGATGTTCAGTGGTCATACAACAATGTGTGGAGAGTGCAGACAGAGTGACAGAGACAAGACACAGAACCACAGGGACAGATGTCACACCCCTCACCAGGGACACAGACAGGTCAGGCCACCCAGAGGGACCGAGGCCAAGATCTTTGGCCAAGAGATGCTCTACATACAGGGGCTTCTGCTTTCACTCTACCTCTTCCCTCCCACCTCTGCTCAGTGGCTGTCTCTTTGCCTTGAAGTCCCCATTCACTCCTATACAGAAATGCAGATATCTCATTTTTGGGAGCACCCCGGCGCTCCCCCTTCCCTTCCTCAGTTCCTGCCTAATGCAAGCATTAGCTCAGAGACTCACTTGTCTCCCTAGTGACAGTGCCTGGGGCTGGAGTAGGGGAGGACAGACTCCCTGGGTCTGTAGCACAGATAAGTCACAACCCCTTTCTGCCCACTGTGGTTCTCCATGGATGGAAAGTAGGCACCTTGGATCCCTGCTGTGTCGTCAGGGCCTGGGACAGTGTCTGGCACACAGTAGGCAATCAATAAATGTTTCCACTCCACCTGGACGGAGTGGAAACCAGGGCCAGAGGATGCCTTTCTGAGGGAAGTGGGGGCAGGCAAAGGCCGTAGAGAAGTCCAGGACTTGAGGGCAGGAGGCCAGGCCCTCAGGGCATTTGGGCTCATGAGAGGACTAGAGAACTGGACACGTGGGTTCTTCTCCTTACTTGGCGTGACTTATCCCTAAGCCCTGGGCAGGGCTGGAATAGGTGGGAAGAGGAGGCCAACTGCTTATCAATGTGATTCATGGGAGATTAAAGACTGACTACTCAGAACTGGGCAGCCTGCCTCCCAGGCAATGTATCCTGCAGGATGGAGAAACTAAGGCAGAGACAGGCTGTCCTCTGCAACTCCATGTGGACTCGGCTGACTGACAGTCCCCCTTTTCACTGGTCCCCTTCCCCATCCTTTCCCCAGGGACCCAAGCCTCTAGGACAGTGGTTCTGTACAAGGAGGAGCAATTTTGCCCACACCAAGGAACATTTGGAAATTTCTGGAGACATTTTTGTCGCAATTTGGAGTGGGATGCTACTGGCATCTAGGGGGTAGAGGCCAGAGATGCTGTGGGACATCCTGTAATGCCCGGAGCAGTCTCCACAACAAAGAATTACCCAGCCTAGGACACCAATTGTGCTGAAGTTGAGGATCTCTGCTTTAGAATAAGCATTAACCAGGGTTTGTGAATGAACACCCCCTTCCCTTCTCTCTTAGCTACAACTCCACCCCAAGGACCCTGGTGTCTGGGGTGGAGAAACCTGGAGGTAGGTGGAGGCCCAAAACAGTCTCTTACAGTCAGTCCATGTTGCTTCGTCTGAGCTGGAGGCTGAGAGACCAGTCATAAAACAGCCCTGCCAACTACCAATGTTTGGCCATTTCTATGTACTGAAGAATGTACTAAGCACCTCACCTATGAGTCATCACCTGTCACCCCTCACTTTACAGATGAGGATAAATGAGCTTCGGATCAGGGAATGACTTGCCCTTGTAAGTGGCAGAGACCGGGCTTGGCCCTTCTGGGCCCGCATGACACAAAAGCCCATGCACTTGGGCAAACCCACAGCGTCTGCGAGACAAGTGGAGGAAGTGCCATTTTATTTAGCAGTAACTTGTTCACCACCCTCCTGGAGAGGACTGAGGGGGCAGCACAGAGGACGGTTCTGCACCTGCCCTGAGGGGAAAGAATCGGAGGGCCCTGGGGGCTCAAGAGCCAGCCTGAGGGGGCTCCCTGTGGAGGAAGGTGAAAAGGGAAGCCATGAGCAGACTGTCCTCAGCTAAAGAGCTTCTCTGATCGTCAGGGAGGAGGGTGGGACTAGGAAGAGAGGGTGAGGAGCAGAGATTCCAGCTGTCCAGACCTGGGCTCCATGAGGGCTGGAAGGTGCCTGCAGGCCACTTAGCCCTGGTCCTTCCTTCCACGGATGAGAAAACTGTCCTCAGAGAAGCTGGGCACCTTCCCGCAGTCTGCATGGTTGGCGGCAGGGCAGAGAGCAGAATCTTGTGACTGACAGTGGACTCCTCCTTACGCTGTGGGTGGAAGAGACCTGGGGGCCAGTGACCCCAGGAATCTACCTGCAGAGAAAGGTTCCGGCTAGGGTGAATGGGATAGGGGAGTCTGGGAATGAGACTATTTGGGAGACGAAGAAGGAAGGCCAAAGGGTAGGCGCTCAGCTGCCCCTGCCCCACCTTGCATTTGACAGAGTAGTGCTGACTGGCGGCCTCCGCCTCATGGTGGCAGCTGTAAGGGGTCACGGAGCCACAGCCACACCCCACAGACAGCCACAGTCACACGGAGCCACAGCCGCTCCCTCTGGAACTGGCAGGCCTGTGAGATGAGGGAAGGGTATGACGGGTCAATCAAGGGGCCCGAGAACCTGCTGCTCAGTCCAGCTCTTCCTGTGAACTGCTGCTTCCTCTTGGCAACCCAGGCACTCAGCGTTCCTCTTTGAGCAAAAACAGCAATAATAATGAATAAGGCTGTATATTGAGCACTTACCATAATACATGCCAAGCACCATTAGTGCTCGCTCTGCGTAAGCTTATTTGATCCTCCCAACCACCCTTTGAGATGGATGCCATCATTCTCATTTATCCAGGACTCAATTACCTCATCTGGAAAATGAGGAGTAGTATTTCCTATATCACTGGCTTGCTGTGAACTAAAATATGCACAGCACCTAGCACATAATCAGTGCGATGTAAGTATTATTTTTAAAGTATTATTATTAATGAAGAATCCGGAGCACAGAGAGGTTAAGTAACTTGCACAAGGATTCAAACCCAAGTGAATGTGGCTCCACAGAGCTGGTCCTTCATTGCCTAGAGCTGAGTTGAGCGCTTCCACGCGCCAGTCAGCCTCCAGCACTCCCCCACCTCTTTCAGTGGCCCCAACGCCCCGTCCCTGCCAGAACAGTGTTTTTCTCAGCCGCTGAGACAACGGCTGTCTTTCCCCTCCCTGCAACAAGCCCTACAAGCTGTCATTCCCTCCCCAAAGCCCTGTTCTCCTCTGAATCCTGGGGCACCAGGTCCCAGCCCCACTGGCACAGGGATCCCACACATTGGACCACAGAGTTGCTCACCTTCTTGATACCATACATTAGGTTGACAATTGCTGCCACCAAAGTGAGAGTGATCAACACAATGACCCAGTCTGAGACAGAGTCCTTCTGGGGTTTCAGACCTAGGGCACAAAGACAGGGCCAGTGACTGAGGCAGGTGATGCCTCCAGGTCCCCAGACCCCCACTGCCCTCCGACTTTCCATCTTTCTTTCTGTGACTGATGTCTCTGACTCTGAGACCTCATCTCTCTGGTGTTTTCTCCTATCACCTTGGAAGCAGAATCTCAGCAGGGGTGGGGGTGGGGGTTTAAAGAGCTTTAATCCAAGTCTCAATTGCCTCTTCCCTGTGGACACGTCTGTCAGTCCCAGACTCATCACTGAGGTCCCCACCTCACTGACTTTCTCAGGCCCTATTGTCCGCATCCCTGGGTCTGTGATCCCTCTGCACTGGGAGGGTCCTCAGTAGGCACTCTCTTTCCTCCTAGCCCCAGTTCTCCCCACCACTCCACCCTGATTCTTGTTCTTAAGGGGAACCAGAGCCTGCTCTCCTGTCTTCCTTCCATTCGTTTCCTGCCCTCAGACTTCCTGCGGGGTATTCCCCAAGCTCCCCTTCTAGGAATGAAAGGGAGGGGAGGAGGAAGATGGAGGAAGGAGGGGTGATCTCTGGAGGGAATGCCTCTCGCCCTGGACAGAGAGATTAGATCATGAGGAAGATGAAAACCTTTCAAGAAAGCAGCCAGGTAACAGACATCTGGCAGTTGGTCTGACCAGAGGACGCCAAAACGCCTTTGAGCTACAGACATCCTCAGACAGATTTAAAACACAGTTGAAAGCAGGCGCTATTGACTATCCCTGAACTCCTCCCAAGGAACCAGGGGTGGCTGCAGGGGAATGAGATCGAATAGGCCCATCAACCTTTTACTGTAATGCCTAGAAGAGTGCCTTAACTGGCCAGGATGCTGAGCCCAGGGGACATGGTGACCACTCCAGCCATGGTGGCAGTGGAACCCTAAGACAGCAACACTCAGTGCTGAAGTCCCAGGCACAGTTGGAGCAGTTCCAGGAGCACTGGAGGAGGCAGGTCCTAAGAGGGCAGAGGGAAAAAACAGAAGAGATTCAAGCAAGTGCAAAGCAGAAGTCACATCAAATGCACCCAAATACAAGACCCTAGCAAGCTTTTGGAATAAATTGATGAACTGATGTTATGAAAATCAAGACTGAGAATAACCAAGACAGTCTCTTAAAAAAAAAAAAAAAGGAGAACTTACACTATAAGATCTCAAGACTTGCTGCAAAGCTGTAGTCCTTAAGCACTGTGGCCCTGGAGTAAGAACTGACCGATAGGCTGGGCGCAGTGGCTCACGCCTGTAATCCCAGCACTTTGGGAGGCCGAGACAGGCAGATCACCTGACGTCAGGAGTTCGACACCAGCCTGGCCAACATGGTAAAATCTCGTCTCTACTAAAAATACAAAAAAGTTACCTGGGTGTGGTGGCGGGCACCTGTAATCCCAGCTACTCAGGAGGCTGAGGCAGGAGAATTACTCGAACCCGGGAGGCAGAGGTTGCAGTGAGCCAAGATCGCACCATTGCACTCCAGCCTGGGCAACAAGAGTGAAACTCCATCTCAAAAAAAACACTGACCGACAAACCCACACAAATACAGTCACTAGACTTTCAGGACAGGTGCTCACTGTTCAATGGTGGGGACAGGGGAGGGTCCTTGGAAATAATGGTTCTGGATATTCATAAGAAGAAAAAATTGAATCTTGACTTCCACCCCACTCCATACACAGAAATTAACTTGAGATGGATAATAGGCTTAAGTTCGAAAGCTAAAATAATAACGTTTCTAGAAGAATGCAGAGGAAAATATTTTCATGACCTTGAAGTAAGCAAAAAAGTCTTAGGATAAGAAGGCAGTAATCATGACAGAAAAAGGTGATGAATTGGAAAACAGAAAGAGAGGCCCTTGTATAGCCACAAAGGCAAGGGAGCTGCTTCCAATGAGGTTCTGGGAAACTGCCAGGCTTGCAGGAAGCCCCACCCCAGAACTACAGACCGAGCTGAAGAGTTCTCCAGAGATGGATTGAGCAACAGAAATATCACCTGATGATGTGGAGACTGTTCCTGAAGTGCTCCTAGAAATAGTTGGAGCCAAAGGCTGAGGACTGCTGGGAAAACTCCCAGAGGTTGAAGAAGCTGTTGAGACACTCCCAGAGGTGGTGGGGACACTTCCAGAGATAGTGGGGACAGTTGCAGAGATAGTGAGAAGACTTCCAGAAACAGTGTGAGACTTCCAGAAACCGGAGAGAACTCCAGAGACAGTGGGGAGACTTCCAGAGACAATGGGGAGACTTCCAGAGACAGAGGGGAGACCTCCAGAGACAGAGAGGAGACCTGGGGATACTGTGTCAGAAGTCCCCAGTAGGGTCAGCTGAACTGTTGAAAAAAGAAAAACCATAGAAGAGTTGGCCATCCCACTGGGTCCAAAGTTCATGTCCTCCCTCAAGACCTCCTGTCCAGGCCCGAGTGCTCACTGGGTCCAGACAAGGCCTGCAGGCCCAGGAGCAGTACCAGCACAGTGTTCATGGCGCCAGTTGAAGCGTGTTGGCAAGGCCCATCTCCCAGGCTCTTATAAAGGCTCTGGGGCCTATTACGAGTCCCAGGAGAGCCAGGTGTGCCAGGGCCTCCATCGACACCAGAATCTCCATCCCTAGGGAGAGGTCACCAAGCTGTCCCAGAGGATTAACCTGTCCCAGCCTGATCCCAGGAAGCACTGGGTGAGGGGGAGAGTGAGTAAGAGCCTGCGGGCTCCACCACCTGGCCCTTGGGCTCTTCCTGGACTAGGGACCTGTCCCCCAGGTCTGAGTCAATCCATAGCCCAGACCATCCTTTAAAAGGGTAGACCCAAATGTCCTATCCCAAGGTCATCCTCTTGTTCCTAGAAGTACAACCATTGGAAGTCAGGACGTATGAGTCCCTCAGGGAAGCAGGATTTGGAAGCTGGGGTTGTAGGGGGACCATGAGGGTCTAGGACTGTGCATTTGACCTTCTGGAAACCTAAGGGTGGGCTGGGAAGGTCAATACCTGAGCCATCTCTCACCTAGATGGCTGCGGCTCACAGAGCTTTCCGTTCCTTTGACAGGGAAGGGGAAAGGGGAGATAAGGGGCACCAAGGAAGACACATGTCATGTTTTGGGACAGTGTGATATGGAAGGTCAGAACCCCAGCTCTGGAGCCAGACAGCCCTGAATCCCCGGAAGCTCAGCACGTGGGCTGAGTCCACTGCGCTGGAATCCACCACTGCTGAGCTGTGCATTCTCTGGCAAGTCACAGGCCTAAGTCTTAATTTCACCTCTAAAATCAGGGTAATCTAGTACCTACTTCACAGGTGCTTATGAGCTATAAAGGAATACTTAGTGATGAGCCTAGCACATGCCTGTAGAAAGTGTAGGGAAGGCCAGGTGCAGTGGCTCATGCCTGTGATTCCAGCACTCTGGGAGGCCGAGGTGGGTGGATCACCTGAGGTCAGGAGTTGGAGACCAGCCTGGCCAACATGGGGAAACCTCATCTCTACTAAAAATACAAAAATTAGCCGGGTGTGGTGGTGGGTGCCTGTAATCCTAGCTACCCGGGAGGCTGAGGCAGGAGAAGATCGCACCACTGCACTCCAGCCTAGGTGACAGGGTAAGACCGGTAAAAAAAAAAAAAAGGGAGGGAGGGAAGGAGGGAGGGCTCCTACTCTTCTCCAAGGAAGATCTCTCTGCGTTCCCAAATTCTACCTCCTGCTTATTCCTCCTGTGCCTGCTGCTCTTCTCCTCCATACTTTCTTCTCACTGTGGTCTTCCTGTTCTCCTGTGCAAGTCTGGGAGTCACTGGTTGCCTCACTTTCCATTTACAGTGCAGACCTCTATCTCTGTTTCCCCATCTTGCTTTTGCGCTCCCACTACCTCTGCCCAGTGCGCTCTCTGCTTTCGTCCCTCTGTGCTCAGTCCCGCTGGCTTTGGGGAAGGTGGAGAGGCTGCATAGGGAAGAGGCAGATAGGAAGACGCAGGCCTGTGCCTTTGTGTGTTCAAGCGAGTTTCCATGGCTGGTGTGTCCCTGTGTCTGATAGGTTCTAATCGCTCTGCTACTGGTTGACTGGGTGACCTTAGCAGGTCACTTACCCTCTCTGTGCCTTACTTTCCTAGTTTCTAAAGAGGATCAGTAACTCTCTCTGCACATCTGTCCTGTGCTTGCCTGTCCCAGAGCTTGCCTGTAGGCGTCTCGGCCGGGAGTAGGTGGGCGTCCTCTTTTCATGGCTGCACAAGGCAGGGGTGGGAGAATGTCTGAGGAAACTCGTGTCTCCACCTGACAATCTAGGATGCGTTAGAGCAAGTAAAACAGAATGTTCAGCAATGGAAGTTCCCATGACCAGATTTCTCATCTAGAAAGCCACCAAGGCTCGGGGAGCAGTGTTCACAGTCCATTATAGACCCAACTCCTTGTTCTACTCCTTCCCTTTTCACTACTGCACTTGACTAGTCTTTAAAAAAAAAGCTGAGGCAGCAGGACACCTGGGTTCTGGAAGAAACTTGGCTTAATCCACCCCTCCCTTTTGGGCCCACATTCCTGAGTCCTTCGGTGTCAAGAATGATGAAAATTAACTGCAGTTAATAATTAATCTCTAAAGAGCCTTGGGAGGTCCGGGCATGGGTGGGGTCCAGACACCTGCAGGAGGGACGCCTCCCTGGTCCCTGTTTCCCTCTTCATCTCCCTGTCTGTAGGACCAGCACTCACTCCCTCAAACCTGGAGACACAAGGTAGGGGTGGGACACATAGTGAAGAGAGGGAATCTCCTTCTCTTTTCCCCAAGAGCACAGTGAATGGTCCTCTCCTGGGTCCTCTCTTACTGGGAGAACTGGAAAATTCAGTTGACCAGATTCCCCCTCCCACTTCCCCTCAAACACTTATGCTAAGGCTTGAGTGGGGTGTAGAAAGCAGGCCTGGCAAGGAGAGGCCACTGGGACTTCAGTGTCTCCTCTATCCCAGGAGTGTGGTGGCCACTATGGGGTCTGGGCTGCCCCTTGTCCTCCTCTTGACCCTCCTTGGCAGCTCACATGGAACAGGTGAGGGCTAGAGGGCAGGCAGGACTCCTGGGTCCCTGTGGCGTGAAGAGGCCAGAGAAAGGGAGTGGGACTCCATGGTCCCTGAGAGAGACAGAGACACCCCAGTCCTGAGCTTCCAAGAGGCTCTGGAGGGGCACTGTTGGGGAAGAGGAACTGTGCTGGGGAGCGTGGGCAGGAAGGTACTGCGTCTCCGGGGGAATCAGCTAGGTCCTAAGCCGTACTTCTGGATCCACAGGGCCAGGTATGATTTTGCAACTGAAACTGACGGAGTCTTTTCTGACAAATTCCTCCTATGAGTCCAGCTTCTTGGAATTGCTTGAAAAGGTAGTTATTTGGGAGGGGAAAGGATGGGGCTGTGTGTTTGTAAGTCAGTTTGGGCCTCTGCTGGGGTCTGGCTATCTCCGCGGTGGGAATGGAGAGCTCTCTTACATCACGCCCTTTAACCCTTTGTTCCCAGCTCTGCTTCCTCCTACATCTCCCTTCAGGGACCAGCGTCACCCTCCACCATGCAAGATCTCAACACCATGTTGTCTGCAACACATGAGAGCCATTGAAGCCTGTGTCCTTCTTGGCCCGGGCTTTTGGGCTGGGGATGCAGGGGGTGGGCCCTGACCCTGTCTTCCAGCAGCCCCCACCCTCCTGAGTGGCAATAAATAAAATTCAGTATATGCTGAATTCAATAACTTGCTTGACTCTGTGAGTCCCTGAGCACAGAGTTGGCAGGAAGAGGGGGTTGGATGCTCAAGTCTCTGACTGTCCCCCTGCTGAGCAGAGGGTTCCAGGGATGGACACTCTCTCCCTCAACACCAGTGTCACAGGCTTAGAAGGCATCTGGGAAGTTGTTTGGGGACACTCACACACCACACACATACACGCACGCACATGAACACACACCGAACTGAGATCTTCGGAACACCTGGGAATAAAGAGAAGCAACATTTACTGAAGTCCTGCATTTCTCCTGCGTCCCTATTTCAATGTTTGCAGCAGTCTTGAATGTGGCATACTAGGTATCATTATCCTATTTCACAGATAAGGAAATTGAAGCTCAGAGAGGGCAAGTCACTCGCCTGAGATCTAGTAGCAGTGGAGAAGTCAGGCACCAGACAGATGTCTTGGTTTAAGCAAGGTTTTTATTTCATTTCCTTTTGCTTAAGCATTGGGGCTGGGGACTCAAAAACCAAAGAAAGAGACATAGGCAGAACATCCCCAGGACATGGTTCCCCTGACCCAAGGATCCATACAGGTAATCAGGGTGGGAAGTGGGTGGGCACTCAGTTGAGAGATGAGGGGTTCAGCTTGTCCGAGGATGCCCAGCCAGGCGTAAGTGCTGGCGAGGAGAGGCCAGGTGCAAGCGGAGCCTGTGCTGGCTAACCACGTGAGTATGAGGTAACACCAGCCCACAAGTGAATTCCTGGGCATGTTTCTCATCCTCTTGGAGCCTCCATTTCCTCACTCGCAAAATGGGGACAATGATGGTACCTGCTGTAGTGTGACAGGTCCCCTACCTGTTTACTTAAAGGTGTAGGCTGCTGCCTGAATCCTGAAGGCCAGGTGACCAGCCAAGGTCACGGTGCCTGGCCGAGGAGCAGGTGTCCCTGAGAACCCAAACATCCCATAGAGTATCTGGGAACCCACCAAGGAAAACAGTCCATTTGCATACACGGTAAGCAAAGAGTCAGAAAATTAGCTTGAAAGCAGCTTCAGGATGGGAGGCAGCACAGATCTCTAAAGCTGTCCGCTGCCATCCAGGAGTGCCTTGTATGTAAGTCCTAAAAACCTCGTTTACTCACCAAGCTGGACTTGTCTGAGTCACTTTTTGGCCTCTCAGCTCCCTCCCAGTTTGGGGAAGGTGGTTTTTTTTTTTTTTTTAAAACACAATTCTGAGTTTTTCTCATTATTCCTGCACCATCAGATTGTGAGGATCACACAGGTAGCTACTTAGGGACATACCACAGCCTGTCTTATGGGTCGTCAGCAGGATAGTAGGGATTGCTGTTAGGATGGAAACCTGGTCCCAACACATATGTCCCAGTCCCCTGGGGTTCAGGGTCCTCATCCTGATTTCTGAGGCAGACACTCCCCACCACCTTCTCAAGATTATCTTGGCCAGGCACGGTGGCTCACGCCTGTAATCCCAGCACTTTGGAAGGCCAAGGCAGGTGGATCACCTGACGTCAGGAGTTCAAGACCAGCCTGGCCAACATGGTGAAACCCCTCCTGTACTAAAAACAAAAAAATTAGCTGGGCATGGTGGCACTCACCTGTAGTTCCAGCTACTCGGGGGAACTGAGGCAGAATTGCTTGAACCCGGGAGGCAGAGGTTGTAGTGAGCCAACATCACACACTCCAGCCTGGGCTACAGAGCAAGACTCTGTCTCAAAAAAAAAAAAAAATTGACTTTTCACCAGCTCTCAAAACACAAACTTGCAGCTCAGACTTGAGCGATTGGGGGGTACTGATAGGATTGCTCTCTGTCCTCTGTGGTACCCACCCTGCCCACCATACCTACACAACCCTCCATTATCTCCATATGAAATTGGAGACTGACTCCTTTGGAGACAGAAGACAACAAGAGTTCAGTATGGAGTGTCACTGAAGACGAGGAGAGCATAGAAAACGGCAGAGTGGAAACAAACACTTAAAAAATTGGTCTACCTTCCTTCGCAACTGTCCTGGGACAATTAGACCCCGAGGAGAAGTAGCAGGGGGCTCCAAAGGAGACTAGTATGTTATGATTTGCCCCTAGCCTGCAGTAGTGGACAGGTGATGCCCATGGGGCAGCTGTGAGGATCCCCAAACAAGTTGGGGGACTGGATATCTGAATGTCCAAGAGGTTGGTAGAGCAGACAGCTAAATGCACCTCAACCTGGTTCCTAGACCTCAGGGCCTGAGATCACCAGGATGTGATTTCCAGATTATTTTTCTCAAAGAATTCTCTCCCAAGGTTCAAAACAGAGCAGTGCAGTGAAGAGTGCTTTGGGGTTCACCAGACCTGGGGGTGACAGAGACTGCTAACTGGCCCCCCCACAACAGCCAACCTCCTCCTTTTGGATAGTAATGTAGATTTCAACCATCAGCATGTGGCTCATTACATTTCCTAGCCTCCCTTGCAACTAGCTGTGGCTATGTGATCAGGTTCTGTCCGATAGGATGCAAGTAGAAAGGAGGTGGGCAACTTCCTGGTAGTATAAAGAAAGGAGCTTCCATTTCAGAGCAGGAAAAGCAAAGTTCTTGAAACAGCCTATAAGGTCTTAGATCAGTGCTTTCCAATAGAACTTTCTGTGATGATGGAAATGTTTTATAACTGTGCTGACGAATATAGTAGCCACTGGCCACATGCAACTACCAAAACACTTGAAATATGGCAAGTATGATGAGAAACTGAATGTTTTATTTTATTTAATACTTTAGGTAGCCAAGTGGCTACCATTTTGGACACAAGCCCCAGATTGTCCGCCTTAAGTCTTCCCTACCCCCCACCAATTCCCCACCCTTACCTCTGTTACTCCACCTCCTGCCATCCTCCCCTTCTCACTCTGCCCCACCACAGTGTCTCTGGGCTACTCTTAGAGCTGTCCGAGTGTGCCTGTATCTCAGTTTTCCTCTGGCCCTTCCCTTTGTCTGGAACGCTCTTCCTACACCTCCTACAAGCCTTTGCTTAAACCTCAACTTTATAGTGAGTTCTGCCCTAGCCCACTATTTAAAAGTACAACCTGCCCCCCGACACACACACACACACACACACATTAGAGTCCCCTTACCTTGTTCTATCCTTTTTTCCTCCCCTGCATTCATGACATTCAAACATAGTATATCGTTCACTTATTTGTATGTTATTTCTGACTGTCCTGCTAGAAGGAAAGTACTACAAGGGCACAGCATTTTGTTTCATTCACTGATGAATCTAAGTGTCCAGAAAAAGGCAGGTGCTCAAAAAAAAAAAAAAAAAAAAACCCCAGCAAGCTTGTTGAAACAGAGTAAAAAGAAAAAGAGAACGGCCCATCCCCTTCTTTCCCTCCTCCCTCTGGGTGGAAATGCAGACACAGTAATGGGAGCTGGTGCAGACCTTGGACATGAAGTCTGACAATGTATCAGAATGGCAGGAAAATAAGACTGAAGAAGGTGTGGGCCCCCATTACTGCAGATCTCTGCACTAGATGCCCAGCAGAAGAAACATCCCCCTCCTCTAAGCTACCATTATATTTGAAGTTTAGTTACAGCAGCCGGAAAGAGCCTGCACCTAATTTATTGGGATAGGTCCCAGTGGAGACTTTTCTCTGAGCACGCGTCTTCATCTCTAAACGAGGGGCTGGGCGCAGTGGCTTACGCTTGTAATCCCAACACTTTGGCAGGCCAAGGCAAGTGGATCACTTGAGCCCAGAAGTTCAAGACCACCCTGGCCAACATGGCAAAACCCTATCTCTACAAAACAATTTTAAAAATTAGCAGGGCAGGGCCAGCCGTGGTGGCTCACGCCTGTAATCCAAGCATTTTGGGAGGCCGAGGCAGGCAGATCACTTGAGGTGAGGAGTTCGAAACCAGCCTGGCCAACATGATGAAACCTTGTCTCTACTGAAAATACAAAAAAAAAAATTAGCTGGGCGTGGTGACAGATACCTGTAATCCCAGCTACTCAGGAGGCTAAGGCAGGAGAATCACTTGTACCAGGGAGGTAGAGGTTGCAGTGAGCTGAGATCTCGCCACTGCACTCCAGCCTGGGCAAGAGAGCAAGACTCCGTCTCCAAAAAAAAAAAAAGCAGGACACAGTGGTGCACACCTGTGGTCCCAGCTACTCGGGAGTCTGAGGCAAGAGGATCACTAGAGCCCTAGAGGTTGAGGCTACAGTGAGCCATGATTATGCCACTGCACTCCAGCCTGAGCAACAGAGTGAGACCCTGTCTCAAAAATAAAGTAAAAATAAAAATCTCCAAATGGAGCTAACACCCGCCTCGTGAGGTTTTCAGTAGGATTAAATGGCATTGTACATCTAGCACCATAGAGGACCCAGCCCAGGACAGGCTCCTCAGAGCTGCTGGACAGAATGTACTCTGGGTGTGGAAGGGCCAGGCCCCTGAATTCCATGGAGATGAGGCGGTGTTTGGCGTGTGTAAGGTGGCTGGCTGTGCTGTGAATGTGTAACTCAGAGGCTGGGCAGTGTGTCTCTGGCACTCAGGTGTCAGAGCACAGAAGGTGGGGCACGCCATTTGCAGCACAGCCCGCAGCCCATCAGGTCTGGAGGAAGTCCTGCTTCTCTCAGCAACTCTAGGGATAGGGCCAAGGAGCAGGGAAGCTTCCATTTAGTGAGAAGTGAAGGAGAAAGAGCCTGCAAAAGCCAGGGCACTGTCAGTTAGTCCAGAAAGTAGGCAGAACTGGGACCACTGTGCCCAAGCCCTACCCATGACTAGAAAGCTGCTCTTCCTCCAGCGAGAACCCCCCCTCCTCTTTTCCCAGACCAAGCTCTCAGGGGACAACTCAGAAGCACAAAAGTCACCACTAGGAGGAAAGGGGACCAAAGAGCCATAAACAGACATGTTTGGGATTTTAAAAGTTTATCTGAATCTCCTCATTCCCAGACTTCCTGGTGGGAGGCAGGCCGGGCAGTAATGTGAGCATCTCAAGGACGCCACAGTCACTGCGACCAAGCCAGTCTGTTTCCTCATTTCCACAATGAAGGCGATGG